GAAGAATGTTTTTGGTCAGCCATTGACTGACAGGCTTTCTCTAGCCAGCTCAGCTCTCCAGCCTATAATTCTGGCTCCCCTCATAGCCTTGCTACAAAGTAGGTTCAGCATGTGGGGACCGTGAGTCCCTGCTGCCTGGTATCATAGAACAAAGCAGGATAGATGTACAATAATCTGATTAAGTCCCCATAGTGTAGAAAAGATGGAGAGCAAGTGGTAGAGAAAGAGAAAAGCAAATGTCACGTTCTACTGCCAACGCAAGAAATCCCTTAACATCATGGGAAAATGGCTTACTTGGTGACCACAGAGTTCATGTGGACCTGAGTAGCCTCAGTATGGAAGTTCTAAGTCGCATATTTGTTTCATGTCTTCTGCACACTCAGGCAGGTGGATATCATACTGACAATTCACAATGTTGAGGTTTTCTCAGAACTGAGGTTTTCTCAACAGCAATAAGGGTTAGAAACATTTTCTTACATGGAAGTTGAGGTCCTGGACTACAGTTCTGTAACACAAATATTGAATAATGTTCTGAATACTAAATCCATTTTTGTTACTGGTGACTGGTTCATGGTACCTAATGCAATTTTAAAATTGTCTTTGTATTGCATTTAAAATGGACTATCTATGAAGCAGATCAGTGCCATCTCATAAAATTAATGGAATTTCAAAAAGGGGGGAATATTTTTTTTAAAGCTTTAAAATTCAAAAAAGCTGTAAGTTTAATACCAGATGACCATGCAAGCACCCAGTCTTCTTCCTCTAAGTATCTTAAAAAAATCTACCCCATCTGCAGCAGTGACACATGCTGAGTCCTACTTAATATAATTTGAATTAAGTAAAACCAAAGAAGCATAATCCAGCAAGAATAAGCAGTCAGCCTTATTTTGCATTAGTCTCCTTCCCTTGCTCCAGCATTAATAGTTAACTTAATACAACTAACTTGGATAAAGGGACTCATAGACTCATAGAAGTTAGGGACTGGAAAGGACCTCATAAGATCATCAGATACAAGCCACCTGCTCTAAAGCAGGAAAGACTGATGAGGTCAGATGACCCCAGTGAGGTGTGCATCCAGTCATCTTTCAAAGATCTCCAGGAAAGGTGGTTGTACCACCTCTGGGGGAGTCTGTTACAGACTCTGGACACACGAACCATAAAGAAGTTTTTTCTTATGTCTAATCTGAAACGATCTTCTATCAGTTTATGACCATTATTCCTAGTCTTCCCCTGGGGTGCTTTGGTGAACAGATGTTCTCTTAGCCCCTGATTTTAACCCCTTATATACTTAAATGCTGCCACCAAGTCCCCTCCTGAGTCTTCTCTTTTCCAGGCTGAACAGTCCCGTGTCCATTGGCAATGCGTAGGGAGTGCATGCGGGTGCATGTGCACCCCCTGAGCACGGTGCCCCCCTGTGAAAAGGCACCACCAACACTGCCGGAAGCACCTGCAGGCGGTTGCCGCTCACCACCGCCCACCTTGCCGCCGACACTTCCAATGGCATCTGTGGGTGGTCTGCAATTGCTGCTGGCCACCGCCGATGCTACTGGCAGCATCTGTGGGTGGTTGCTGACTGGCAGTTGGCATTTACCACCCCTCCCCCCACGCTGCCAACAGCACCACGGCCACCTGTGGGAGCTCCCTTCTTGCCGATGACAACAGTGCCATTGCCAGTGCAGGACCTCACCATGCCCACCTCGCCTCTGGGGGCACGCAGCATTCATGCCCATGTCCTTCAGCTTCTCCTTGTATGGTCTGTTCTCCAGACCTTTAATCATTTGTGTGGCCCTCCTTTGGACTCCTTCTAGTTTCTCTACATCCTTCTTGAAGTGCAGCGCTCAGAACTGGACTCAGTACTCCAGCTGCAGCCTCGCCAATGCTGAGTAGAGTGGGAGGACAACATCCTTAGTCTTGCTTGTGATGCATCCGTTGATGCATGCCAGAGTGCTGTTCACTTTGCTGGCTATTGCATCACATTGCTGGCTCATGTTCATTATGTGGTCGATTATGAACCCCAGGTCTCTTTCTGTTCTGGTGCTGGCTAGTGTAGCACCACCAAGCCTGTAAGTATGTTGTGGATTATTTCTCCCCAGATGGAGTGTTCTCATTTCTCAGTGTTAAACATCACCAGGTTTAGATCCACCCACTTTACAAGTCTGTCCAGGTTATCCCATATCCTCAGCCTGGATATCAGAAATATCTTTCCTGTGCCCTCATCTATCGCCACTTGGCCCCATATTCAAGCCTGTAGGAATGGATAAGAGAGGGCTTGTGAAGTTGAGTTAATAGTTCCCAAAGTTCTCCATATCTCCTATTTTCACAGTGTTCTGTATCCAAGATACCTTATTTTTTTTTAATCTGAGTGCTTTATGAATAGACAAAGGTTTCAGGATAAAAACAAACCTCCCTTGAAATTCATGGTTCTTGTCAGTATTTGGGGCAATGATGGGAAGTTTAAAGAGAGAGAGAACCAATTCCAGAGCTGAAGATGAATGTAGGGGAATTTAATGAAACACAAATTGGGGTGGAACAAACATAGGCTTAGAGTCTGATTCCATGTATTCAACGATCTAGATCAATACTTGGCACTTAAAAAAGCAACAACAATGTGGTGGTTTTCATTGAGTTGTACCAGGAAACAGGACGACTCCAACAAATAACACAAAACATGTCACCAATCAATTTTATTGAAAATATATTAGGTTTCTGTAAAAAGTATAAAAGATCAGAAAAGGGAGCAGCACAAGCAGGAAGAGAGACAGCACACAAAGATTTACTTCTGAGTGCTACAAAATATTGAACTAAAAATAACATTAAAGATGAAATTTGCAATGAATCTCAAGCTGCTAAATTCCCAAAGGCTGGGTCTGCCAAAGGCTCTGTTGGTTTCCTCTGTTCTTTTCTGTCTTTATTTAAATATTTTATACAGTTGTCTATGTTCATGTGTAGTGCGAACTGTCATTTATATTTCAGTCCACTCTAAAATGGATCTTAGACTATCTCAAGCTGCGCACTGCAGTGAGTAGTTCTGAACAGAGAGGTAAGTTGAAGTGGTAAGGACAAATGAAGACTGATATTTAATGTAGTTTTTGTGTACTTATATTTTTCTGTCATGTATTTTGCCTTAAAACTGATTTGTAATTTTATGTGTTTTGTGACATTATGATAAGATGCGATGTGAGTAAGGTTTCCATTTAGCAAATACATTGATGTATTTTTGAGTCAGTGGTTGACTGTGAGAATTCTGAATTCTGACCTTAGGGTTTAATGTTTAGCAATAACAACATGCAAGTTTTGATCTACAGTATTTCATGCTTTTCTCTGTGCATTAGATTTGCAAAGGTAAACTTTTCAGAAAAAGCCAGTCATAAGCTGATTTCACATCCAGTTCTGTAAGATGCCCACAAGGTGGTAAACATCCTCAAATCCAATTTTCTCTGATTTGAATCTGTGCTCTCAGGACCTCTAAAGATGTTTATGCAGTGTGGAACTTAGCTTTGTATGTTGCTGAGGGTTAGATTCTGCCTAACCTGGTGGGCAGGCTGTGTTGGGGAGGAAGTAAAGAGTGCTTGTGTGACCCACATAAAGGATTAACAGAAATGCATTCCTTATGCTTAGTGGAGTTCAGAGGCTGCTTGCTAATTGTGCCCCACAGTGTATGTAGCATCCCAACTGAGGTGGGAAGGGGCAGATAGTAAGCAGATTATGGCTTCACTTCCAGTGTTTCAGTCAGGTGAGCTGGTTTTTCAAAAGGCTGTAAAAAAATGCATTCCCCTGACCCCTTTAGAAAGCCTGTGTCTTTCCAGCGGGTGGTGTAGCTCTGCATTGACTTCAATGCAAGCTGGTGTCTATAAGGCCCTATTGATTAGATTAGATTAATGTAGTTTACATTAGAAATTGAGAAGTGTGTTTGGGTCAGATTCTTCTCATACAGTACCAGGAAGAATGAAATTTGTCCCATTAGACTCCATTTTCTTAGTTTTCATTCAGAAAAAAATAGGTGAAAAATGATGCTTTTCCCTGGGTTTGAAAAAGCAAGTCAAATGAGTCAAAAAGCAGAGTAAGAATTAAAGTAGTAGGAATTTGATTAGCCATTGTAAGATGCTTACTTATCACTTTGGAAGTGGACTGTTAAAGAATGTTAAATTGCCATTGAAATACATGTTACCTTGCAGTATGCCAGATCAAAGTTCATTGTCTTCCTAGCAGAGGGTTAGGATGAGTAGGCTTACTTTTTCATATAATCTTTTGCAGTTCAAAAACATTCCATTCATTTTATTTGAGTGATCAATTTACCAGGACAGCCCCAATATACCTGTTGTGCACTGTAGTAAAATTTGTACCACAAGCCTTTGTAGAATAATCAGAATGTTAGTGTTATACAGACCTCAATACAGACCTCAATGCAACAGACCTTTCAGTGCTGCTGTCCAAAATGTATGGCATGTCTCTTCCACATAATACGCATGCAAAGTAATAGATTACATTTCATAAAATGCTATTTCTTTTATATTTGATCACAATATTAAAAATTGAAATCTTTTAAATAGCATTTCCATACTGAGTTAAGCAGTGAGAATTCAGGCTTTCAAAGCACTTGTACATGTGCCAATGTCACAGTATACACATGACAAAAATTTCCTTTTGTATGGCTTAATGGCATCACACATAACACGCATGCAAGTTTGAGGGGGGTTTAAATGAGTTTGCATCATTGCAAACTAATGATTTGCAATGTTGCAACTTGGAACATTGCAGCCCTTAGTTAGCTTGCCCCCCAGCCACAGGAGAGGAGGGCAGGCTCTGCCGAAAAAAGGATCAGGCCCCTTGCTGCTGGGGCAGCATGGGGAGGCAGCAGGAGGGTGGCTGGGTATTTTGGTAGCTGGAGAAGGCCACCTCCCCGTGCTGCCCCAGGGGCAAGCTAGCCCATTCCCAGATGTCCCCAGGTGTCCTGCCGGCTACAGGAGCTTGCTGAAGGAAGAAGTGGTGAAGGGCCCAATCCTTATTTTTTCTGTGGAGCCTGCCTGCCTCTTCCATGGCCAGGCGGGCAAGCTGACACATTAATGGCACAGATTAATGGCCTCCTGGCCGTAGGAGAGGTGGGCAGGCTCTGCCAAAAAAAAAAAAAAAGGGATCAGGCCCCTTGCTGCTTCTGTCTTCAGCAGGCACCTGTGGCCACCAGGACAATAACATATATACAGTGATGGAAAAATAAAACCCACCATTTCAATTAAAAACTCACTGTTTCAATTTAGAAGGCATAGAATGCAACCTAAGAACTGAAACCCCATCATGCGTACAAGAGTCCTCACATTTTAGTGACTTGTACTCTGGATAAGCTAATCAGCAGGTAGAAATACACTTTGAGGAAAGAGCCTCTAAACTAAAGGCTTTTAAAAATTATTATTTGCACGTTAATACAAGTATGAGCAATGACCACTTCTGTATAGGCTTTCTATGTATTAATATCTGTTTTTGTTTTATAAGCCTGTCTAAATCTATTGTATAATAATTTATGTCTTCTAAAACCCCTTTAGGTTAAATAATATTAAAATACATAGTCAGCACACAGAATTAAGCATTTTTAAGGGCAGGAAAGGTTATTATCATACCCTCAAGAAAAGATTTCTATAATGTGTGATTTTAAACCTGCTAACTTGCTAACTACAAACAAAAAATAGTTTGTGTAAAAGCTGTAGCTTGTAACAAGGCCTTGTACATCTGGATCATTGAGCAAACACAGTCTGTCACTATAGCTGGAGGAAAAATAGATATTTCCACTTTTAAGATCCATTCCATAAAGAAAATCTTTATGTGGGTGCTTGCAATTTGGCTCTGGATCTTAGGTCAGACAGTGTGTATACTGTACTACCATATCTTCCCTTAAAACAGGAAAACAATTATGCATTTAGCCCTAGGGATGATTCTATCCTGTAGGCTGCTGCTCACTCCAGTCCTGATCCAACAAAATAGAAATGCATATTTAACTTTACAGACATGAGTTTATGTCACTAAACTAAAACAGTATTTTGCTGCTCTGGGGCCGAAGTGCCCAGCATTGTGCAGAATCAAGTGAATAAGCAGCTGAGTGGGACACAGTAAAATACAAGTGAAAATAACAATCCTACAGAAAACTTGAAACAATTGGAAAACTTCAGTTTCGGTTCTAAAAGGAATATTCACCTTTCCACAACTGTATTTCAAAAACTCCCCTTCAGTAAGCTTCCATATTTTGCTTTTATATAGTGCTTACTATTGGAGCTGAAAGATTTTTTTACGATCTCTGAGCCTGGTTTGGCCTGTTGAAATCAATGGCACAAATCCCACTGGTTTCACACGTAGCAGGATTGGGCCCATTAACCTGCATTCCAGCCCTGTGAGAAGTTGTATTACAGTTTTGTAGATAAAGTGAATCACAATACAATGTAGAGAACATCATATTGTCTATGTATGCAATAAGCCAGTGGCAGAGTCAGAAACAGAACCTGGGATTCCTGGGGGCTGCTCCTGCCTCTAACTGCTGAATCCCACTTTTGAAAGCATTTATTTGCACTCCCTTAGCAATATAATTCTAGAATGGAATTTAACAGTAATGTATGGAGTATTTGTAAAATATGTTTCTCATAAATTGCACGCATGCAAAATCCAACTCTTTTCATATATGTGCATGGTCCACAAATATAACAATATGAATATGCACTATAAAATACAGTTATACATGGACATACATGGGCTAGTGATGAAAATGGAATTTTCAAATAATAGTTCATACAAAGGGGAAATGTTCTTCTTGTTCTATGAGGGACTGGTAAGTTTTATTATGTGGAATGGGAAAATCAGCTGCATCCTGATAAAGTAACCTATTTTCTTCTTCTTCTTTTGTTTTCCCCACTATGGCTACTTTTGTCCTACTAAATTATCCAATAGTTACAATACCGGTCAGCATGATGTTACCTACTTTCTCCCGTTTTCTTTTGAAATAGAATAGGACCCGTTTTCTTAGAAAGAGTTGTGACCATAGCATTAAATCATACATTAAGTAATTTGTTTCACATGATGGGTTGGAACTAATATCCCAAATCTGAACACCTGAATGCTAGGAGGAAGTTCAGATTCTAGTTTGTCTCCAGACTTTGCAACATGGCTTCAGCTCTGCTTTTTTAATTGTGGCCTGCAACACAGAAGAGGAAGCCCAGGTAAGTGCTGTTTTTTATATATGTGTGTGTCTGTACACACACACACACACACAGAATAAAAGCCCTGTTTTCCAGCATGAGTGGGGAATGGGTGGTGCTGGTTATCTAAAAATGCTGGTTACCTGAGGCACAGGGGTTTTTGATTGGATGTGCAGTGGGGGGGCAGGAGGCAGCGCAGGGTGACGGGTGGCAGTGGCGACTGCCACATGTGAGCTTCCCACCCCCTTCCAGGTGTCTGGCCAGCCAGTTAGTAAAATGCTGGATAACAGGGCTTTTACTGTACACACACACATGCACACATCTATCTATCTATATCTATATAGATATAGATAGAGATATAAAACAAATTAGGATAGCTGTATTTTACAGATGCTATGTAAACAATCCAGACACTTAGGCCTGTCACTAGATCTTTTCAGAAGCCTCTCTATAAAGCTATACATAAAAAGATAATTAAAAAGACAACATTTTGGAGATGGTGTTCTATCTAACCGAAATCAGCAGGATATCGGAACTAGGTCTCATATGATGAATAACAAAAGAAAGGGTAGTTTACATTCTTTGATACATTTCTGCTAGATTAACCCCCAGTGGGATTTTACCCCTCCAGTCACATTCCTTTGTTCCTCTAATCTTCGTTTGTATTTGCTCACTGACCCCAAGCATGTATTTGACTTGTGACCCTATTTCTGTTAATAAAATACAGGCCATCTGACCAGTACTCACACCAATGAACTACAAGGTGATGATTATCTTATTGTAAGTGCCAGGACTTAGCAACACAGCAGTTTAAGCCTGGTGGTTGGGTGGGCTGAGGGTAACCACCTCTTACCAAAGACTGACTGTATAACCCTGAATGATCATTTCACAAGGAAAATAAAGACAATAAGCCTGTTCAGAATATGTAATGAAAGAGATACATTAGTTGCGTATCTCCATATCCATTGTGCAGCTATTGAACAGTCAATATCGCTTTAGGGATGCAGGGGTGATGAATAACTTATAGATGCAGGCTAAGATTTTCAGTATGCTTATGGGGATAGCATCTAAAATCAAAATCATCCCATTTCTCTACATATTAATAATTATAATTATCAATATAGCAAAATTCATATTGATACTTAATTTGGTGTTTTGAGACTAAATTAATACTTTTAAAGATATGTGAGATCCTTATAAACAAAATAGCAGTATTTTATTGTACCTGCTGAAACGCTGATCTAAACAAAAAACATATGTGATTATGCCTTACACTTATTAATGGTTTCACCAAGCCTATTTACCATGAAATCATGTAACAAATATTATTAATAATCATTTTACAGGAGCAAATAATACTAAAGCAATTTATTAGCCATGTAATCTGTCACTTTCTTTTTTGGGGACAGAAAGACAGTATTTTCACTAAAAAAAATGAAATTGTTACATCTGAACTATTAAACAACACTAAGGTTAAAACAGCATTGGTCCTGTGGTCACATTAGGGTGACAACCTGGCTCTAGAGATGTTCTACAGGAGCTTCATATCTAATTAAAAATAAAAACAGATATCAAAGTAATGCAGACTAACAATATGAAACTATCTGATGCATTTTTGGTTAGATGGCATGAGGGACTTTAACATTCACTTTATTTGCATATGTTTGTTCTTTCCAGTGAAATCAGTTTCTCTGAAGGAAGCAAGAAAACTTTAGAAAAAGATATTATTATTAATTCTGTAAGAGAACACAGAAGAAAATCTTTAGTAAACATTACTTTACTGTTGATCATCATTTTCAAAATGTGTTTATTTTCATGATTTGCTTTGATTTAAATCAAAAAGCAACAAGTTAACTTGGCTTCTTTGAACCATGAATCATATTTCTAGTTTTGGGCAAAACTTTTATTGTGCTTCCATTTTATCCAAATTACTTCACACATGTAAATGTTTGTATTAAACTCATGTATGGGTTAAGGGTGCCACTATGTATACAGCATGGCGTATATATGTAGAAGCACTGTTTGTGCCTTTATAGTTAACAGCAATTTATTCAGTGTGGCTCTTTACCGCCTTCAGAAAGGGGCTAACAGCTGTAAATTTGGGAGCAGAGCTCATTGCAGTCAAGGGAGTTGCAGTGGTCCCTGTTGTGCTTCCTAATTCAAATAGTGTCCAGCTACCTCTGAAGTTTGTGGTAATCTATTTTAGCTTTCCTATGGCTCCAGTCAGCTGCTGTGCCCATGGTTAACATCAGAATATAAGTACACAGTGGGTTTGTCTACATGTACAATTAATACGCCTGAATTTTCTGCACAAAAATTCAGGCACATTAAACTGTGGCCTTGCACACATCTGAACCTGTGCCTGTCAGGACCAAATTTGCTCCCAGTGGGAGTTCAGTTCAGGGCTGATCCTGTCCTGCCCTGCCCCACTGCAACAGCCAGGAGCAGCTCCGGGCTCCTCCAGGTGCCAGTCCTGGGCTAGCAGGAGGCATGGGGTCTGGTCCTGATTGCCATGTAGCTGGTAGAGCTGTCCTGGCTGCTGGACATCTGCCTCCCAAACACATGGAGATCAGGACATGTCCCAATCTCCACGTGAGAGGGAGGCAGCTGCCCAGCAGTGAGGACAACTCTCCCAGCTATCCTGATCTCCACTTGGCTGGGAGGTAGCATCCCACTGAGCTGAGACAGCTGTCCCCACCCTCTGTGGCCCCCTGCTGCCTAGGTTGACTGAGAGCAATTTGCTCCTGGTCAAAATCTACACATGCACTTCAGCACTGATTAATGCACTGATTTCTAGTACCTGTATCTACTAGAATACAGTAGAACACAGTATCTACAGATACTAGAAAGCAGTGCATTAGACTAATCTACTGCACATTAACTGCTGCACACGTGTAGACAGTGATGCTTTACTGTGCATTCGATTAGTCTAATGTGCAGTAAAGAGTTTTATGTAGACACATCCACTGACTACCTGACTTTTTTCAGTCACAGCATTCTACAGAGAGCCATAAGGGGTGGGGAAGGCATAAGACTTGCTACAGTAGCTCTTTGCCGCTCAAGGGCCTGCCTGTACAGTCATTACTGCACATTCATTTAGTACTTATATAAACAAATACTAAATGACTGCACAGTAACCCACGTTACTGCACGGTAGCACTGACAAACAGCTTTTTTGTGATGCTGACTGCTCAGTAGCCCAAGACTACTGCACAGCAGCATCACGTCACAGTTTCTGCTACTGCATAGTAGTCTTGGGCTACTGCACAGTCAGCATTTTGTGTAGATGCGGCCAAGGATTCTCATAGGTAGGGAGAATTCTTCACTGAGCAACTAGATCAGTGCTTCTCAATAGGGCTGTGCGACGTGTCAGGTGGTGATTCGATTTGGAGGAGATACAGCCCGATTTGGTGGCCTAATCTCCGAATCAGAATCAAATCAGAGGACCAATTAATAGGTCCATATCAATTCAAAGCTCTCCAAATTTTCGGAAAAGATTCAGAGAGTTTCAGTGATTTGGGCAGTCCCCAGTTGCTGCAGCAGTGAGCTGCAGCCAACTCCAAGCCAGTAAGTACTAGGGGCAGAGGAGGTGGGGGGTTGGGGGAGGGGGGACAAGACCTCAGGTTGGGGAGGACCGGGTTAGAGAGCTTCTGGAAGGGCTGGACGCGTTCAAGTCAGCGGGTCCGGATGCTCTCCACCCCAGGGTGTTGAGGGAGCTAGCTGGGGTTATTGCAGGGCCCCTGGCACGGCTCTATGAGCGATCGTGGTGCTTGGGCCAGGTGCCAGATGATTGGAAGGTAGCAAATGTGGTCCCCATCTTCAAGAA